TATCAGACCATAATGGGGTGTGGAAGGTCTGTGGGTAACGAGCAGAGGAAGTGGTATCTGGTATCTGTGGTCGATGGATGACAATAAGGACCGGTGATAACGAATCGGACGCCACATTCCAAGGTGCGCTAAATACTGAAATAGCAGTTTAATGGCTTAGTTTGGCACAAGATCATAAGCTTGGAGCATCCAATAAGGGTCTAGCTCACTACTAAGAAATAATGAGTTACCATACTAATTCGTTAATCATTACTCAACGCTGAAGCACCATAATATTTACTCAGCTTATTTTAGCAAAAGGCCACAAATATGTGGCATCCAACAGGAATCGAATTGACTTCTTTATGTGCCGTTGCTCTTCAGAGCATGGGGGATTATAGATCTCCACAACTTCCTATCCATTGTAGCTCTTAGAATTTCTATCAATTTACTGTTTATCCTATTCTCCGTACTACTATTCATTTAGACAAACTCCTAAGGTTATTCGCTGTTTACTCTCTGCCCTTATTGTCTTCAAGATATCCTTTGAGTCTCAAATTCTCCAAACTCACTTTACTCATTATGTGCTATAACACTTTTCTGCCGGTCGGACTTTGGTCAAATGCTGACGCTGGCCGTTGGGTTGGTCACTCTGGTCTAAACTGTTTCTCTACCCACCTTGTATTGTTTGAGCATATAACCGGCAAAGATCAAATTGTCATCAACAATTGTGATGTTGGTCTGTTCCCGGTAAAGCTATGTCACAAAGGAATTTAACAAAAAATGTCCTTGAAGTTAAAGAAAAGAAAAATAGTTCTTCAGGGTCTAGTTCTATGAACATTTATAAACCGTTTTTATACAATGAATTGTTTCTGGGTACAAAACATTAACTCTTCGAATCAGAGGTTCTCTTTAGTTACGTGGGATTCGACAGAGTCGTCTCTCGTCAGGAACCTCTCTGTTTGCTCATCTCAGTATCCTGTTTATAGTGACTTCCACCCTAAACTGGCATGGGGATTGATGTGGATATGGGGACTCGGTAGTTTCCCTATCTCTAATTAATTATAATTTGGTGAGATCCCTTTTCCGATGGGTAGCGGTCACAGGATATTGATTCTCTCAACTTCTTATTCGTGTCTCGCACCAACACTTCCAAATAGGCGTATGCAATTCCTCCGTCTTCCTCGGTATTTCACCTGCGTTCTTCGACTAATCTGGTTCTCAACTACGTGACGTGGCCTTAGTTCGCGATCATTAATTAAAATTATCATCTTAAATTTCGCGTCGGCGAAATTTCTCAGCCTGGCTTTGCTTAAAAATCAGAAATTTACTAGTTGCATCCTCCGGTCAGTCACCCCCTCCCAATTTCGCCAGGGTCATTGTACTCTAAGCATTCCGGGCCCTGTGTCTTTACATAAGGAAACTTTATTCCCTTGATTTGGTTACAGAGATCACCAAATTTTATCTTTCCAACGTATGTTTTCGTAACTGGTTGTTTTAAACTGCCTCATTAATCAGCTGTCAGTTAAATATGGCCATATGGCTTTTGTGGTAATATCTTGTAACAGGATTACTTTTCTTCGCAGTATCATTGCTCTAAAAAGAAATAGACTTTGGAAATAAAAAATAATAGCTAAAAATAGCTATGGAGTGAATGCCGATCGAACTCACTAGTTAGTAGTAATGGCCAATCAGGCTTGCTTGCTATCTATTACCCCACGCCATTGAGTTTATATGAAAAGTAGGTATTTGCAAATTCTGGTATTGGATAAAAGAGATAAAGAAAAGGAAGACACATCTGAGTGTGCGTTGTGAAAATCACGTGTTATTTGACCGAATTAGAGTCAAGACTTATCAATACTTATATAACAATTATGTGAATTAATTAAAAAAAAAGAAGAAAGGCATTGCTAGAATCCTGCGATATATTTCTCATAGCTTTTCAACTACCTAAATTTGATATTTCACCTTCAGCAAATAAAAGCAGTCAACTTCCCCAATTATCCCTTATTGCAAGGCGACGAAGAGACTAACAATTCTCTGAAGTATTTTGTATGTTTATATATTCAACTGACCTTTTATCGTTCCCGGCAAGGAGGTTATAAAAAAGGGAAATAATCCAGATATGAGCAGGGAAAGAAGAAAAACGCAAAAAAGTAAAGAACTTTTTGCGTTTTCTTCTTTCCATTTTATCATTATCAGTGAAAAAAAAAATGACGAAAACGTATGGAGATGTGGGTAGAGTGAAATGAACGAAAAAGAAAGACGAGAGAGAAATGAGCGGGAAAGAAAGAAGAGAGATAAACAATTAGAAAAAAAAGCGTTAAACATTAGGAACGGACTGAAAGGAAGATATAAAGATAAAGTAATGTTCGAATAAGAAATACGGAAAAGTTCAAGTTAACTGCGCATGCGCTTGTGCCGGTGCGTATATTTGAGTGTGACACACACAGAGAGAGAGAGAGAGAGAGAGAGAGAGAGAGAGAGAGAGAGAGAGGTGAAAGAGAGGGACGAAAATAAAAACATGATATTGATTGATATACAAGACAGAGAAAAAAAGAAATGTTTGTATGAGAAAGAGAAAGCAGAAAAGATAGAGAGATAAAACAGTATGAGAAGGGATAACAGAGGTGATTGATTTGTTTTTTACGGCTTATCAACCCTTCGTGGGTTATTTAAACCCAAAGCGTATTGTTTGGATTTTAAAAATAATAACATTACTACTTTTTTTTTAAAAAAAAAAATAATAATGATTTTTCCAGTAGAAGTTCTACTACTTAACCCGTAGCTGGAGGGGAGATGTATTTATACATTTACTCATGACTTTTTGCGCGTAAGTGAATGAAACGAATTTGACTGGAATTCGAAATCGACTCTCCGATTTCACATTCCGTGCCGCTATCCATAACACCACCCACACATGTGAGAAGGGAAATGAGAAGAAGAAGAAGAAGAAGAAGAAGAAGAAGAAAAAAAACAAATACGAGAAAGAAAGGGCATGTGGCACACGGAAATGATAGAACGTAATAAAAAAGACGAAAAAGGAAACAAAAGATAGATTTGAAGGAGAAAAAAATAATAGATAGATAGAGATAGAGATAGATAGAGAGAGAGAGAGAGAGAGAGAGAGAGAGGGGGGGGAATGAAAATCAAGAATGTTCGCACCACAAACAGCAACAGCAACTGACAGAGAATGTTAAAAAAAAAAACGAATCAATTAAGTTGTTGGTATGTAAAGTGATTTTGATCATCACGTCGGGACAACAGTAATAAGTGGAAAAATTGTTATTCGTATTTTATTTTTTCTTGTCTACTTTGTTTTAATGCTTGTCTACGAGTTGGTGATGAAAAGTTCTCAGCTCGGCCTACTTCCCCAAATCGGAAAAAAAAAACCACTTAGAATCAGAAAGTGATAAATGAAATTTCCAGAGCAAGCTAAACTTAGTAAATGACAGTGTACTGGCGGCTTGGGCTGAGGTAATGGTTAGCGAGCTAGTCTAGTTGGCCATTATTGTTGAGTAGAGAATTCGATCCTCACTGGGTACTTCAAATATTGTGACTAAGATAAGCTTATTAAAAAGAAGATGCCACATCGTGGTGTACAGGCCACGAAACTGAACTTGTAGAACAGTTGTAATGAGTTCGATCCTCACCTATATTTGTGGTTTCGTGCCAAAGCTAAGCTTGGTAAACAACAGCAGCAACGACAACAACAGCAACACCACCAACAACAATAACTGCGGTTTCTCCATAGAAAAACAAGGAAAATAATTAAAAGAAAAAGAAGAAACTGAGAAGTACAGTAAAGTTTAGAAAATGGCGAGACTTAAAGGAGGTCCGGAAACGTAATAAAACTTCGATTTGCGTCACACAAGAAAGCTTTATTGTCAGCGTCCAATGACTACAATATCATATCCCAGATTAAGCATAAACTCTTCTTTCTAATTGTAACGTTATGTAAACCAACATGGGCGCCGTGAATCAATTTCCCTCCAATAAAATTAGAAGCCATAAAATAGCTGTCTAAATTTGATACCTAGAATTGAAGAATGCAATATTCTCATCCATATTTTATTCTTTCTTAGCTTCTTTATTTTAAATCGGAAAAAAGAATACTTATAATCAAAAAGAGATAACTGAAATTTCTAGCGAACGTAATGAGGAAAGAGGACTTGGAAAATTTAACAACATAAGACAGATTAAAGGCAAGAGAAACAAAAGAAAGCAGCGAGTAACCTACAAAACGAGCTTTTACAAATGGTTGGCCAGAAGAGGGATTAGGAGAGATTAGCAAAAACACAAACAGTACTAAGTTCTACAAGGAACTGGAAGTTGTGGAGAAACATGACCATCTACACCCTGAAGGGACACGGCACATAGAAGAAGAACGAGGAGGAGGAGGAAAAGGAGGAGGGGGAAAGGAGGAGGAGGAGGAATAAAGAGTGATTTTTATGTTATAAATTGTCAGTTTGCAGGATCTTTGCGCTTAATTTTAATCTGTTTCAGAACATTGACTGAAACGTTTGCCCATCTCGGCGTGATGTAATTGTTAGCAAGCTTGTCTCGATAGATCATTTACGACTGAATAATGAGTTCGATCCACAGTATGTACCCTACACTTTTGGCCTTGTGCCACATCTAAGCTACGCTTAGATCATCATCATTGACTGAAGCGTCTTAACAAAAAGTGTGGAAATGTTCAAGTATCATGAAATTGATGTTCTTGTAGAAGAAAACCCCGAAGGTTTGGTAATTATTTTTGCTTAGCAGCATATCAATTTATATGGGTTATTTAATGTCGAAATCTAAATATTTTGCATGCAATTTTATTTTTTTTAAATAGTTTTAGTGATAAAAGTTTTACTAATTAACCCATAGCTGGGGAGAGAAGATGTGGATTCACACCTTTCCTAAGTGTACTTGCGCGTAAGTGTATATAAAGAACCCAACGGAAATTGAAACTTGACTCTACGATTAACAATTCGGGACCATTATCCATTACACCACTCACATATCCAAGCTTACAGTGTCTGGTATTACGAAGCGGTCACCCACCCAGGTGCTAAATCAGTCCCGGCGTTGCTTAACTTCGGTGGTCGTACGGAAACCGGTGTTCCAATATGATGATGTCAGAATGAAATCCTGGAGCGTATGATGAAACGAGTGGATTGACAACTGCTCGTCGTATACATCTGTGAAAAAGTAATATGCTAATTTCCAGTGTAAAGATTTTGAGACTTAAGATATTGCACAGTCTGGGAGTCCTTGAACCGTGGCAACTTCTGAAATTGTTGATCAGGTTCATCGAGACCCTAGAGATACCAAAGAGCGCTAAGGGACAACTGAACCCCGCCGACTGAGCGCCGGGACAACTCAGGACCGAGACAACTCAGCACCAGAAAGACATTAAAAATATTTTAGAATGTCGATTTACTATATTAAAAAATAAATTACATTACGATTTCTTCTTTTTTTATGTGCTATGTCCCTTCAGGACGTAGGCGATCATGGCTCTTCACTTCTTCCTATCCCTTGTAGTCCTCAATAAGTTTTGTCTTTTTACTACTTCTTCCAGACCTTGTTCTGCCAAAGCCCGCTAAGTCACACGTTGCTTCCCTTTGTCCCTCATTCCCTCTAATCACCCTGTGAGTAGCAGATTTTCCAAGCCTTCCTTTCTTATTACGTGTCCCAGAAATTTCAGCTGCCTCTTCCTGATGTTAAGCATAAGTTTCCTCTTTGCATCCTCTCCAAAACCTCATCTTTGGTCACATGTTCCGTCCATGGTATTCTTAGCACCCTTCTGTAGAACCATACCTCTGTTACCTTGAGTCTCTTCTTCATCTTTGAGAAGACCGTCCAACATTCAATGCCGTAAAGGAGGACATCACGTAGCACTTCAATCAGCCATACGTGATACATGCTTAGGCGATCATGTATCTTTCATGACTGACGAGGCAGATTTTTTCACGCAGTAGGTAGCCATTGCTTTCTGCGATAAACCAGTTGACATCCAAGGCTATAGAACCCAATTCTGTCCTGCTATTTACCCATAGCTGGGAGGAGAAGAAGAGGATTCATACCTTTCCCAAGAGTGTTAGCATGGAAGTGAATGTAATGGATTCGACTGGAATTCGATGTCGGCTCTCCGATTCGAGCAGCAATCCGTTACTCCACCTAAGCAGTTAAATAATTAAAAACAAAAAAACAGCTTCATTTTGTTTTGCATTTTTCGATTTATTTTATTCAATAATAATTAAAATCAAATGTGTTTTATTGAATTATATTTTATATGTCAATAACTTAAAATACATTTCTTTACGATTTACTTTATCAAAAATAATTTTAAAAAATCTGGTTCATATTTTACATAATACCTTTTCAAATGTTTTATTCGAAAAAAAGATTCACTAATTAAGTTTTTAATTCTTAATAAATTACTTTTATTCGGTTAGAAAAACTTATGTTTTTCTGGTGCTTTGTTGTCTCGGTCCTGAGTTGTCTCAATCCTGAGTTGTCCCGGCGCTCAGTCGGAGGTGTTGAGTCGGCGGTGTTGAGTTGGCAGTGTTGAGTTGTCCTGCACCCATCCAGGAGGGGGCGTTGATGAGTAATTACATCTTAAAACATAATAATAATGGTGATTAAACAAAATAGTTTAATATATGCCAGCATTTTTTAGCGCGAGTTAACTGATTAATAAGAAGTGAAATAGCTCCATCTAAGACAATTGCTGTAAACATCCTTTGAAAATGTTATAGTGAAAATATTTCGTCAGCCGAGTGGAAGATTATGTTGCACCAATGTAAATGGGGGAGTACAGTCTGCTCTGAAAAATAAAATTTGAAATCTTTTTTTTTTTTTTTTAAATCTCGAATCAGAGACTGCGGTCACCAAAAGCAAATAAGCAACAATAAACAAATTCGAAAATCAGAAGCTCCAGACATTTGATCTGGTGATTCTGCTATGTATTTAGATAACCTTGATAAAAAAATATTACTCACTTGGCATCTCGACTTCCCACCACCATGACGTAGTTTCCCCGTGCCCTTTCTATAAATATTTTCATGGTAATTTTTTGATGAGCTTTCTTCTTTGGTAGCTAGATTTTATGAATTTAAACGCAGTAAGAGATTGACGGAAAAATTTCAGATGTAATATCAGATGTAACCGTAGGTCCTATGCTAACTTTTTCTTCTCACTTGTTGAATTCTCTTCCTGCTGTTTGTTTTCCAGTCAACGTTGATCTTCAAAAATGTAAATGCAATGTCAATCGTTATCTCTTGTCTTAATTCATGTTCTTTTACTGTTCTCTTTTCTTAATAATGTTTTCTTTTTCACATATTCTTTCACACTTAGTAACCCCTTACATGTTAATGGCTTTATTGTCTTTTTGGGGGTGAAATCTTAGCTATAAAACAGGCTGAAAATAGCGCCATTAGAAATAAAGTCACTTTCGTCCGTCCTTAGGAGCACACGAGAGAAAAAAATTAAATTTTTTTATCATTTTGAAATCAATTAAAGTCACCTTTCCAAGATTACATGCACTCCATTAAAATTTATTCACTTCACTGGATACAGGTCAATAGGAATGAATTACAATGAAAATCCTTTGTACAAAATTATCGTCCAAGTCTTTTCCTGTGGCTTTGAATTTCTTTTAGCTTTGACCATTGAAAAATATTCTGTCGAAAGGAACGATTTTTTTTCATGAACATCAATATAGTAATACTATTAAATATAAAGAGAATTTATCACAAAACTTGGAGTTATTTACTGATTGGTTTGAAATAAGATACAATCAATTCTAAATGCTTTTTGTGTCCCTCCAGTGTATCAACATTGATACATTGAAATTTACTCGTTCAGAATGACTAGTTATCCTTGTATCGTCTTTTTCACTCTTGTCAGTGTCCAATATCTTATTTATAGGCTAATTCATGTGGGCATATTGCTTACATGTATTTTTTATATACTAAATACTAAGAGGTCAGGATATTAACATGACTCGAGTTGGGTAATCGTTACCTATATGTATCAAGAAATTTAGCAAGAGAATCAGTCCTGGATGTGAGCAACAAGTTGGAGATGTCAAAATCAAACAGGAACAGAAATTTTGGGGAAGAGTTTTAACAGAAGATATGACACCGAAGGCGCATTTGAATAGCAAATAAACTTTTCCAAAATCTAAACGAAGTATTACGAAACATGGCAAGTTTATTAGAAACAAAGAAATGAGTGTTGAACTGCTATGTAATATCAATCTTCCTATTTAGCAGTGAATGTTGAACAATTTCTTCACAGAGAAACTTCCCTGTCCCCCATTTGAATTGTTGATGCTCGATTCCGTGAGTCTTTCACGGTGCTTCATGGCCTCATGTTTTTCAATTGACTTGAAGTGGAACAACGACATTGAATCAATCGCTGCATCTACTGCAAGGAAATTCGGCTCACTGTGTCATGACAGAACGTTTTGCTCACCAGAGCCCATTTTACACATCTACAACTCGATCATTCTTCCATACATTGAATATTGTTGACATATATCTGGTTTGGTGCTCTTGCAGTTCATCTCGAGGTTTTCGACAAAATTCAAAGAAGTATCTGCAGTGTAAACGCTCCTGACATCTCGATTTCAGTCACTCTCTCATAGACGTGATGTGGCTTCCCTCTGTCTTTTCTACAAATATTTTCATGGAAACTGTTCAGATGAGCTATCTTCCCTGATGCCCCGACTACATGAATTTAAGCGTTCTACTAGATTGGCATTTAGGTTCCACCCTTTCACTGTTGAAATAGTTAAATGCTACCAGCGCTTCTACTCCAGCAGTTTCTTATCTCGCGCTTCCCGACAGTGGAACTCCCTTCCTTTTACTCGCTTCCCTGAAAACTTAAATGTAACGTTAATCACCATCTTCTGTTGTCGTTATCTCTGTTCTTCTTTTATCCTTTCCTCAGTCCCCTCTTTACACAATCTTCTCCCTCACTTTCACTCTCTGTAACCCCTGCATGCTAATGGCTCTTCCGTCTTCTGGGGTGAAATGCTTAAAAAGATTAATAAGACATGTGGTTCTATAGAATGATGCTGAGAATACGATAGGCAGAGTATGTAAGCAAAGAGAAGGTTTTGACAAAATGGAAAAAAAATACTTAGAATCATAAAGAGACAGTTGGAATTTCTAAGACACATATTGAGGGAAGAAGGCTCTGGAAGATTGTCACCAACAGAACATAGGGAAGACAATGTTGACAGAGGAGGTGGCGAGTAACTGACCTAACTAGCTTATGTAAATGGATGGCAGAACAGAAACTTGCAGGGATAATAAAAAAGGCAAATATTGATAGGAATTGCAAAGGATATGAAGAACCATGTCCACCCATTTTCTGAAGGAACACGGCACATAGAGAAGCGATCACCAACATGAACCAAATTCTATCCCACGAGCGTAAATATCAGACATCGCAAGGTTTTGCCTGTATTTTACATTAAACTAATGAATAAATGAATACGCGTGTCTCTCTCTCTATATATATATATATACATACACACACACACACATATATATATTGTCATCCACAGACAGACTGTTTTGCTGTATCACAGCTCATCAATGTGGCTAGACATGCAATTGCTTCAAGCCGGGATCGAAATCCGACCGATTTTACATCAGCCGGAGACTCTCTTCCGTAGACCATCACGCTACGGAGAAAGGGTATTTTTAACGCAATATATACGAGATTTAAACATTACTGACTACCAGAGGGCTAAATTAATAAATAAAAGCTTTATATATATATATATATATATATATATATATATATATATATATATATATATATATATATATATATATATATATATGCTCCCTTTGTAGGCTGAGGACTTTGGAAGAAAGGAAAGGTATTAATGCAAAAGCTTTTATCTATGAGCCCTCTGGTAGTCGGTAATGTTTATATCTATATATCTATATCTATATCTATATCTATATCTATATATATATATATATATATATATATATATATATATATATATATATATCCAACTATATGATTGATGTATACCGAATAAATTACAATAACCAACAATTACTATTCTTAAAAGAGTGCTCAATACAGAGTAGAGCAA